AGAGTCGAATGTGTTTGTGTATGTGTGTGCTGTGCACGAGTGAGCGAGAGGGAGAGAGAGAGAGCGCAGAGCGTCTTTTACGCTAACAGTGAGAAGGAAAGAGGGAGAGCCAGCCAGCCCAGTCGCCGCCACGCAAGTTATTCACCCCAACAACAACAACAACAGAAACAGCAGCAACAACAACGGCTACGCACACTTTGCCAGTTGGTTCTCACGTATGCGTGCCGTGATTTAGGTGTATGCGTGTGAATGTGATTTGAAAATAAAGAAGAATATAAATAAGAGGCCCAAAAAGCATTCAAAATAATAATATTGAAAACGAATCAACAACAATTGAAACAACAATAAGAGAGAACAGCAAGATAGAGAGAGGAGAGATTGTGAGCGCGAGAGCCGAAAGCAAGACTGAGATTGACACTAAGACTATGCCTGCCATCCGGCTAATCGCAGTGGGCACAAAACAAAATTGACGCTAAAAGAGCAGGCAAGGCACAGAGAACGTGAACTTGGCTTGGAGCCAAACAACGAAGAATACAAAGTCAAAAGAAACTGAATAACAAAAAGCAGCCCAAACTGTGATCTCTCCAAAGATCACAGACAAAAATATAAAATGATGATGATGGACACACTGGACGCCCAGCCCATGGATGTGGCGCCCGCCGTGGCCGTGGCAGCAACAACAGTTAGCAGCACGCTGGACTTTACGGCGACTATCGTGAATATGGCCGCTACGGCGGAGAGCAATAACAACAATCATATCGAGATGGCCGACTACAAGGAGCACCGCAAGAACAAGAAAAAGAAGCGCGAAAAGCGTGAAAAGGACAAGGAGCACCGACACAAGCATCGCGAGCACCGTGAGCATCGCCGGCACCGGGAACGGGACAGAGATCGCGAGTCCTCGCATCATCAGCAGCATTCTCATCACAACAATAGCCAGCACTCGACATCCGCCTCCTCATCGCCCTCGTCCGCCTCGACAACGCCATCGGCTACCATCGAATATGTTGGCGGCTCTGCCTCAGCGTCGCCCTCCTATTTAGGGGCCGGCAGCGGCAGCGGTGGAGGCGTCGGCGGCGGCATCAGTGCAGCAGCTGTCGGAGTTGGCGCTGCTGCTACCACATACCCGCACAATTTAAAAATACGTTTCCTGCTCTCCGGGGTAAGAAGCCACACCTAAATTCTAACCAATCCGTGTCTAGTTTATGCCACAAATTGGCGCCCTTGTCGCCAGCATGTTGCCAGTTGCAAGTTGCAACTGCCACTGCAACGTTTCGCTTTTAAGTGCTGATTCTATTTTGAGAACTTGTTCGCCTTATCCAAGATGTGTCATCCATCTGGCAGCTGTTGAAAAACTCAACTCAAGGCTGACAAATGTTGTTTGGGCTCGTTTATAACCAGTCAAAGCAAAAGCTAATTCGATTAGATAACTTTTACCTTTATTGCTAACTTCCTTCAGACGAAGTTTTTTCCCAAATAGAATACGAAACATTAAGAAAAGCGTCATACTTATTTAGTACATTGCAATAGCAACAGCAATCAGCAATACCTCTTAAAACTAGCTAAAGTGTTTATTTCCTACAGCGGATACCCAAAGAAATATGGTAGGAAACCCCATTAGAACTCTACAAATATTTAATTTAAAACAATTTGCTATTTCATAAAAGTAAACATAAAGTAAAATCATTAAATAGAAAAATACATTTCCTTAAAATTGAAAGGATCCCAAGAAATATGTCAAGGAAGCTGTTTCAATAAGATCCTTAACATATTTCTTGGAAATATTTAAATCAGAAAAACTTTTAAATATATTTTATCTATGACTTGAAACTGCTTTTACTCCATTTTGGTTTGGAAATCTTCATAAAAATAAAAATAAATGGAAAGCTAAAAAAAAGTCTTAAGTCATCAAATGTTTTCCACCCAAATCGAAAGGATCCCAAGGAAAACTTCTTGAAACTTCATCAATATTTAAATCAGCATTTTCTTTCGGCTAAGTTTGTATTTGGAATGCATTTAGACCCCTTTGAAAACCGATCCTCTGTGTAAGGGGGGGGGGGCGCATTGGAGTTCTTGGAAAGGACAATTTGCATAAGTTATGCGGGTCATTTGTGCCAGTTTAAAGTTTGTACAATTCAATGACAAACACTTTGGCACTTCATCAATAATTGAAGACGCAGTTATTTCGAGTCGTGCAGCTGCAACCTGAGAGCGGTCGCACCTGCCACCGGGCCACGTCGCACAAGGCAGCAGAGGAGGAAGAAGAAAGGAGGCGGTGCTGGCGTCGCACTTGCAATTATAATGAGGAATGCCTCCAATTGGCCTGAGTTGCAACTAGTGCAGGCTGCCCCGATTATTGATTAGTTTTGTGTGGCATGTGGCATGTGGCATTACGTGCTGCACTAAAAGGAGACGGGGCAACAGCTCGAAGCTAGCGGCACAGACAGCTGTTCGCCTTATCCCTTTTCGTTTGGCGCGCTCAAGGATAATGCCTGGCTGTATCCTGTGTCTCTGCAGGCTCTCAGCCTAGTTTACGACAGCTGCCTTCTGGGCTCTTTATGTCTCACTGTGTATGTGTGTGTGTGTTGTGTATTTTACTACCCCGAGTTTTCTGTTTTTGTTGCGGCTGTTGCTTCCTGGCAGCTGATTGATCCTGGCTTCGATCTTATTACAGCTGCCAGCTATGTCTGTCGTCTTCTTCTTTTGCTTCTCCTTAAACTTCTACTTCTTTCGCCCTGTTTCAGCCGTCTCAGGTATGCGGGACATTTGTCTTCAGTCCTGTTTCTGTGTATTCTGCTCTCGATTGATATTTCGATTCGCAAGCGGGACTTTTTGCTATATACAAAATACATATTTATTCGAAAATTTATCAAATATAATTATAGGAACAGAGAGAGATACAGAGATAGAGAACAATACTAATCTGATAGAATTCTTGTAAGAATTGTTATCAAACTTAAATCAATTCTATAATCATTTGAACCATTTATATCTTTTTATTATTTTCTTAAATTGATTTGAGATGCGATTTGGTATTTGGTTTTCATTAAAATATTTACAATTGATCTGCATTTCATCAAATGAAACTGCCAAGATCATATATTATATCAATTGAAAGCTAATGCCAAAAGTAGAGTATTTAAATATTTGGCTATGGCTTAGGTCTTAAGCTCCTCCGTTCGTTCAGTTTTTACCTGGTAAAGACAAATTCAATGTCCTATCTAACACACAGGAGCCGTTCCTTCGGTCATGTATTGTTCCAATCGCGTTTGTTTGTTTGTCTTTGGCATACCTTTTCGGTTATCCATTTATTTCAATTTGAATAATTCAGGAAATTTCGCGATGTGCTCGGTTTGCGAAATGTGCAGCAGGACAACCCTTTTCTGTGGCCCGATCGGAGAGTGTGAGAATGTGTGCGAGAGAGCGAACCCTCTCGGAAAGCTACTCAAACATACGCCAATATAATATTTATAGTTGGTATTTGGTTTCCGGCTGTCGCTTTTATTGAATTCGCAGTAGCTTGCCAGGGTCTACGAAAAAAAAGTTGTACAACAATTGAATTATGTACGGAAGTACAGTGAGACCCATTTGCAAATGCAAATGCAAAGCACGCCATCCAGAAAGGGGTTGATGGAACATTAGCTTCTGCTGCTGCTGCTGCTGCTGCAGCAACAGGATAATCACTTTCAGTAATGGCGGACATTTTTGGCCAACAGCTGCTCCGTACTGAATTCATAGAACCGATTTTTTACAGCCTCTGCATGTTGTTTGTATTTTTTCTTAGCGTTTTCTTGACCCAAATCTAATGAGGCGTGAATGTGTTTAGCAGAAATTCGACACTTTTTATTGCATTCAGCAACAGGCAGGCTAGATTGACTGGCAGCTGGACAGGTAGGTAGGTGGCAGGGCGTTAAATGATTTGTGACTTCTGATTGGAGTTGTTCCTATTGCGACCAGGTGGCAACGCTGTGCATAGTTTCTGTCTACGTGACTACAATACCATTACAACAACAACATCAATGACAGCTACTGAACCCCCACCACCCAAATAAACAACAACGCGCTCACGCACTTATAACGAGAGAGCGGGAGAGTGAGAGAGTGGGAACAAATAAAAGGGAACAGTTTTTTTTGGAAAAGAGCACGATATCGTGAGAGAATGGGAACGGCTGTTCCCAACGTCTGTTGTATTGCTCTTTATTGTTTCGTGCATTGGCTGCACAAGCAGCATTGGCTGCTCGTTCTAAACACTCACACATACACGCTCACACAGATGTGTACCGCTGCATCTGGCAGCATATGGGGAAACCACATAATAACAAAAAAAAACTCGTCCATTGTTGCAGCACTTCTTGCCCTCGCCGAGTTTTGACAGCGGCTGCTGCATTTTTCTGACTCTGAGTCACATTATTACATGTTGCTGCTGCTTTTACCATTGACAGCGACGTCGACGCAGCCGATAAGCTTTGAGCTGCATTACATACATACATACGTATGTATGTGTTTGTGTGTGTGTAAATGTGTCTGTTGACTGGCAGCTTTTATAATCTATATGGAACACATGCGGCGCCGCCGTAGCCCCTTCTCGGTAAAAAGCAACCGTGCTTTGCTTTGATTGTTGTTGCTGTATGTTAACAGCCGGCTGTTACTGTCCAATGTTAATGTTAATCTTGTGTTTTGATTCAGTTTGTTTTTCTTATGCTTTATGTCTGTAAACATGTGTGTTTACATGCCGCAATTTGCGGCCGGAAGTGTCGACACGATTCTTAATGGCTGTAGTATATGAAAGAAAAGGAGAGAAAAAACTAAGAGTTGGTTGCTATCGCCAGATTTCATCTGATGAACGCAAATTCTGGAAATCAACTCGAGCATTCGCTAAGCCAAATCTTATGTAGTTCCTTAAGCCTAACCCGTGACCCTTGAGATTTTCTGTAGAAATAGATTTTCCTATTTAAACTAAACTGAACTAATCTGTAATTTCCATTCTTAATCGATTGCAGCAACGCACTGAATTGAGTCCACCCACGCATCAAACATCCGCCACCGCTGAGGTGAATGCCACGTTAGCTACCACAGTACCAAGCGCAGCGATAGCACCAAGTGGCACGACGATAGCAACCACTGCGAGCACTTCAATTGCCTCCACCATCTCGACGAGCAGTGCAAGCAGCTTGGTGGGTGGTGCAGCCATTGGTGGCTATGCGAAATCAGAGGCAAGCAAAACAATTAGCAGTAGCAGCAGCAGCACCGGCAGCACCGGCAGCAGCAACAGCAAGCATGGCAACAGCAGCAGCAGCAACAAGGACGGCAGCAGCACTGTCACAAGTGGAGCAGGTGGCACCAGCAACAGTAGCAGCGGTGCACCCAGCTTGTATGTTTCGGTGCCGTTGTCCACGGCCAATGTACCTGGCATCAATCTGCCCAACAGCAACAGCAGCAGTGGTGAGTTCAACAGCACGCCCAAATTGAAATAAATAGCATGCATTTATCATTTCCTTCAATCCCACACAGAAATGCACCCAGCTCAGGCGGCACAGTCACCGCTGACCGTCGGCAGCGCATTTGCAACGGGCACAGCGACAGCGGCAACTGCGGCTGGCGGTGCGACCAGCTCTGGCTCTGTTATACAGCATCAGAGCGGAAAGTCGTCGCCAGCGCTGGGCGGGCTGGTGAGCAGCAGCGCCAGCTCGGTCAACCTGACGGCCACCACGACGGAGAGCGGAAACTTGAAGATCAGCTTTGAGAAGCAGACGACTCGTGTGCAGCAGCTGCAGGAGCAGGAGTCGGCGCCGGCGCGACGCAGCAGGTAATTCGAGAAACAAACTCACCACAGCAAATTCACCATGGCTCATAGTTAACAGGCCAATAAACAAATTGTTTCGATTAGTTTCAGTTGTGTTCTGTTGTTTTGTTGCGTTGCTTTTTATTATTACTTTTTCAGTTTTTGCTCTAGCGAAGGCCAATCACATGCTGCAATTCCATTTATATATCTTTATATATCCATACACACACACAACCACACACATACGCACTCATTTCGGCAATATTAACTCACATACTGTGCTCTCTCTAAAAAAAAAAATGTTACTCTCTCTTTCTCTCTCCCTCTCTATTGCTCTCACCTGACATTTTGCTTTATCCACCGCATTGCAATATAATAAACCCACCACAAATTTACAACTAACCACAACAACACGTAGATCGCGCTCTGGTGAGAATGGTAATCATCACCACCATCACCCAGCTCACCAAACCCACCACAATCACCACCAAACAACGCAACCACAGCAATCACAATCGTCGCAGCATCAACAACAGCAACAACAACAATCGCTGCTTACCAGCGCATCCTCCTCCACGTCCAATTCATCGCTGACCACGCCCACCAAACCGCAGTCACGATCGGGCAAGAAGCGAGCTGCTGCGCTCAACAAAAGCGAAGCAACAGCTGCCGCCACAGCAGCAGCAGCAACATCGGCATCTGCAGCAGCAGCAACATCAACAACAACCTCGAGTGCATCAGCAACTGGTCTAAGCACAGTCGATAAGCTGAGCCGCAGTAGCAGCGGCAGTCGCCACAGTTCGCCCCACTATCGAGCCACGCCCACACCACCGCCACAAGCTCTGGCACCGGCAAACTCATCGCCGGTGGTCATGTTGCAGGCGTTATCCTCCTCCTCCATTGACTCGCCGCCGGCAACAACTCGCAATACGCGTAACCAAAATAACAGCAGCAGCAACAACAATAGCCAAAGCCATGCTGCTGGCACAGATCATGCCGGCAGCTCAGCATCCTCCTCGTGCTCCTCCACTTCCTCAATGTCCTCAGCCAGCAGCAATGCTGTTATCAGTCTCTTAGACTCGCCCGTCAACATGTCCACGCAGGCCCAGCAACCTGTTGCCGGTTATAACAGCAGAGCTACCAACAGCAATGGCAACAGCAACAGCAACAATGTTGCTGGGAACAGTGCTGCCAAGCCGTTGAATAAGAAAATGTTGCGGGCGCAGCAAGCGCAGCTGTATCAGCAACAGCAGCAGCAGCAACAACAACAACAGCAGCAACATGTTAGTTTAAGCAATGCACCACCCGCTAACGTCTCCTCACCCACTAATCTTAGCTCAGCCAGTAGTCAATTTAGTCAACAGCAACAACAGCAGCAACAGCAACAACAACAACAGCTTAAGCAACACCAAGATTTAGAAATTTTGCAATTTATTAATACAAATACAAATGCTTCTTCCATGACGACAACAACAACCACACCATCATCATCATCGTCATCGTCGTCCACAACAACAACAACTACAACACCAACCACAAACAACAATAAATCAACATCGAAATGCTACAGGACACCCGATCTCAACACGGCCAGCAGCTCAAACAGCATCTCAGCAGCAACCAGCAACAGCAGCAACGTCAATGCCATCGGCAGCAGCAGCAGCAGTCTGTTAGGCGTCAGCAGCAACATGAACAACACCGGCAACAACAACAGCAGCAGCAGCGGCGGCCTCAAGTTCAGCTACGAGGCACAAACGATCAGCAGCCAGTTGGATGTGCCCATGCTGCCGGTTAGTGCCATCAAGGACTCGCCGCCCAGTTCGCCCGGCTCGGAAATTGGCGCCGCATTGCACACGGCGATAGCAGCGCCAATCACGGCCAGCAGCAATGTGCGTAAGCGTGGTCGTAAGGCCAAGGATGCGACACTGACAGCGGCTGCTGCCTCGGCAGCAGCAGCAGCAACAGTGACCGCCACTCAACCAGATCTCAAGGATGTGCGCATCCTGCAAAATGGCATCGGAGCTGCCACCGTGCCAGCCAGCACGCCCACGCCCCCCGCCACGCCTGCCACGAGTGTGACGAGCGTCAGCGGCAGCAGCACCACTCCCAGCTCCGGCTCCGGCTCTGGCGCTGGCAACACCATCATAACGCACACAGCCACCCACATGCTGGGCAATCATGTTAATCCCAACAGCAGCGTGGCCCAGAAGCTGTCCGAACAATTGCACATGGAAGTGCAGGATCATGCCATCTACACGCCCGACTCCATGACATCGCAATTTACAGGTGTGCCGTTTCCCGGCAAGCAGGTAATTACCACAATTCAGTTAGTTATAAAGAGTCATCCCACTAATCTCTGTGCATTTACTTTCGCAGCGCAATTCCAACGCCGCGGCTGCTGCTGCGGGCAGTGCAACGCCGGCGCCGAATCCGTTGCAATCCATGTTTGGTGGCGGCGGCATCAATGGCAACATGCCCATACCGCAGAGCTTGGAACAGCTGCTGGAACGCCAGTGGGAACAAGGCTCCCAGTTTCTGATGGAGCAGGCGCAGCATTTTGACAGTGAGTATGGCTAATCCCCAAAAGATAAAACACACGCATCCCGCTAGCGAATCCACTAAAACTCTCACTTTTCCCTAAAACACAGTTGCCTCACTGCTTAACTGCCTTCATCAGCTGCAGAGCGAGAATTTGCGGCTCGAGGAGCATGTGACCAGCCTAATAGCACGACGTGATCACCTGCTGGCGGTCAATGCCCGACTCCAGATACCGCTCAACAATGCAATCAACAATGCCAAAGCCGAGACGCATGGTAAGTAGTGGCATCCACTCATAGCACTTGGTGTCGGCACCCGCAACACACATACACACACCCACTCACCCACACACACATAACTACAAATACATGGTTAATGGAGGCGCCTACAAAATGAATTTAAGTTTTTGTAATTAATTGTACTGTACATATATTGAAAATGGAAACAAAGCTAAAATAACAGTCTATGTTATGCCTGGCGTTGCCAGACCTTATACTAATGCTATAAATGACATTTCGCATATATTTTCGCATTAATTAAAATAATTTAAGTTTAACTGGGTACAAGCGATCACTGTACATAACATAATATATATATATATAATAAAAAGCAAAACACAAATTTTATCCAGCTAAAATTGAAGTCAAATCGAAAGGTTTTTCAAAAGATTGAATACTTGTACAAATTATATAGATATACACCCTCAATCAGTTTTCTACATACGAACTTAAAAGCAAATTTTAAGCTTAGATAAGGTTTAACTTACATTTCTTATTCATGTAACAAACCAAGCTATTTTACTTTACTCAAAATATTATTAAAATTAAGTTAATTTTATGCACATACGAATGCAAGATTTTTCCTTATTTTATTTATTTTAAAAATGAATAAAATGTGTTTTTAAACCAAACAAAAAAATCTATCAGCAAATTATATTTATTTAATTTGGGTTTTTTATTCCGAAATTTAACCAAAATCTTCATTTTCTCACCTTGTCCAACTGTAAAAGCCTAACAATGGCATGGGCACAACTAACAGCCGCAGTCTCTGTTAAGGGACAGCACGTTATCATTTGAATCTAATCTCAACTTTATGCTAACAGAATATTTGACTGTAATCAGTCATGTTAAATGGCGAAGTTTATTGGGCATTCTGTACAGGGGTTTTTTTTTATGCATGCAACTGAGCTACACACACAATCAATCACACAAAGAACTTTACAATTTAACAAGTGTGTAAAAAGAGAAAACTTGTACAACTTTTGCCGTTTTCACGTCAGCCTCCAACAACAGCAGCAGCAACAGCAATAACAACAGCAGCAGTAACGCTCTCAATGCTGCCACAACAATTGCCGCAGCTGTTTCGCTGGCCACAACCGCTATAAATACAACCATACCAACAATGGCTAGCAGTCGGGCTAGCAGCGCTAGCAGCATCATGGACTTTCGTGGCAACAGCAGCACCAGTAACAACAACAGCAGCAGCAACAGCAACAATATAAACAACAATCCCGCAGCCTCTAACACCAATGCAAACGCATCAGCGACACCAACAGCTACCAACCTAGCTATGGGCAACACAACGAGCTTGGGCTTGAGGTGAGTTATGAAATGACTACAAATGCAACTAAGTCACTGTTAAATCATTGCATTAGACACGTCGCATCGTCTCATGGATCATATAATAGTAGTGCGAGCAACAGCAACAACAACAGTAGCAGTAACAGCGCCAGCAACAGCATGCACACAACACATCAACAACAGCAGCAGCAACAACAACAACAACACCAGCAGCAACATGCGACGTATTTACAGTCGCAACAACAGCAGCAACAACAGCCATCGCATTTGCACCACGGCAGTGCCGCTGTCGCCGCTCATATGTTGGGCGTCGGTATGGGCCCCGCTGCGGCAATTGGACGAGGTGGGTCAGCTACAGCGATTGCTGCAACCACTATAACAACAATAACAACCACAGCAGCAACAGCTACGTTGACAACAACAACAACAACAACAGGCAGCTTGCAACATGGTGTGGCACACTACGCGCATCCGCATTCGCACCACCCACACCACTTTCCTAGCATTCAAGTTCAGTTGGGTGCCGGCGGCGTTCACGTTGATGACTTGAGTAGCTCCTCCACCTCTTCCTACGCAGCGCAACATGCGCTCTACAGCACGCATCACCAGGTAGTGTGTGTGCGTGTGGGTGCATGTGTGTGTGTGTGTATGTGTGCGTGTGCGTGAGAGTGTTCCTTTAGAGCATTTTACAATTACAGTTGACACATACATATGCACATTCAACCATATATGTATATCTATATATATGTATGTATCTATCCAATATCTGTTGTTGTTTCATGTTTATATCATTTTGATTTTATGCCGACCCATCATGCTGTATGTTTACATTCAATCAATATTTCAACCAATTCCAAATTCATGTGATTTGTTTTGCCCCCAAACTGCAAGCGCCTCTCTCATCCAAAAATTATACTCTGCCACAACAAATTAATAATAATTGTATATGGTAAATTGTTCGTTGTTTTTGTGTGCCAGCGCTGAAAGATAATATAAACTGTTACTGTTATTTCTATGCGTTAACATTAGAGATGCACTCGCATGTTAACTAACATTTTCTGTTGTCATCTCTCTTACAGTCCCAACAAAGGCGCGACGATAACCTCGCCAAATCTAGCTGAAAGTCATATCGTGAGCATGAGCAGCACCAGGTCCCGCATCCATTGAAGAAGAAGCCGACGCTGACCAGACGCATACGGCCGACTGATAACACCAGCAACAAAGCAAAGCCACTGATCACCGACAAACCCAAAATCCACACATACACAAAACTGAAGCAAACGACCGTTAGCTTCCAGCAGCAACACCAGAATGAAGAAGACGATGTAAGTGCGCGTGCGGCTGCATTAGAGAAAACAAAATTAAATAAATTATTTCGATTTCAGCTCAGCAGCAGTAGCAGCAGCTCTTCCACGTTTTCATCGTCCTCACAGCAGCATTCCTCTGTGGACTACGAAGCGGAGGATGAGAACGAGGACAAACAGCGACAGAGAAGGCACAAAGATGAGACGGATAGCCTAATACATGTGCAGAACTTTCTGAAATGTTTTGGTGCCAATGCCGCGACGGTGAGGCCCCCAACAGCAACTGTTGCAGTTGCCGCTACAGTCTCAGATAAATTGAGCGCAACATCGAGTTCTGAGCTGCGTAGATGGCGACAAGCTCATCGCGCAACAACATCTGCTGCCACCACAACAGCAACAGTAACATCAACTATAACAGCAGCAACAATAAACGCCATTCAAGCAACGACAACAGCGCCAACAATAACCACATCAACAATAACAACGCCACAAGCTCTTTTGATCAACACAAAACCGCAAAAATTTCAAATCAATACCAAATTTTTACGCAAGCCGCGTAACAAATTAATGAAAATGCTGCCAACAACAATGTTGCAGCAACAGCAACCAGAACAGCAAACGCAGCTATTTATCGATGATTCCAACGCCAAATTCAAAGACTTTTCAATTGACTCGTTATTGAATAAGTAAAACGCAACAGAATTAACAATTAGCCCTATTATTTGTAGCCTAATTCTTCACAAAGCCACCCGCAGAAAACCGCGTTCCTAAGCCCCCCAACTAAATATGTATATTATTTTTTTCTTTAGCCAATCGTACAGAATGTAACACATAGAACTCGAATATATATATATATATAACTAAGTTGTTTATTTATTACATACATTTGTACAACTAATGGCGCAATTCGTAATTAGCATTAGCAGGCGTAAGCATATGTACATAAACAATTACTTAATTACACGTTAATAAATCACAGCAAATGTGCTAGAATTTAAACTATGTTTTTTTATGTTAGACATTTTTAATTTGAACTAGAAGAACTTGTGCTAAACGATTCCTCCATCGGAATTCTGTTCCTTGTCGTTAGGGGCTGCCACTGGAGCTTCCAGGACTTCACGCACGCGTAACATCATTTCCTCGCGTACCTCATTTGGCACCATAGCGCGAGCCTGGTTAAATTAAAAAAGTAATTGGGTATAAACTTAACCATATCGAAACTCACATTCGGTATGATACTCTTGGCAAGCTCTTCGCGTGAAATATTTGCTGAATCACCTTCCATCATTTTCTTCCGTATCATTTCTTCAATATCCTTTCTCCATCCGCAGTCAATTAGACGCTTTTCAAGAAACCCCTTTAATTCTTTGGTATCAGCACTATTAAGATAGGACTTATAAGAAAACTTAGAGTCGGTGCCAGTATCCTTGCTGTCTGCCATAACTTAATTTTTTATTAACTTAAATATCTGTATTTGTCGGTTGTGAATGCAACAATAACTACATTTCAACACAGTCGAATTATTCGACTCGAATAAGTATTTCAAAGCCTGCTTGGTGGTATCGATAATTTTTAGAATTAAAATACTTGACCAGTTTATTAACGCACTAATCGATTATTGTTCAACCATCACAAAATACCAAATTCGTGTCAGAACATAATTTGTAATCGGCTGATCACCGTGACGACGAACTTAAATATTGCGTTGTATTTATAATTGAAAACAAAACGGACATTATGTTATATTAATTTACGTGACTGTGGCAAAATTGATTAATTTTCGTTTTATTTAAGATTGGATATCACAGTAATAGCGGATAGCGAGTTTGAACAAAATACCAAGTACTTAAAAGTACCAAGAAGTATTCGAATGACTCAATCGGAGGTTGGGACAGTGTGGATGCATTCATAATGGAATTAAATTGAGTCTGAATATGACCGTATGGTCTCATGTCACACGATCTTAAGCTCAGTGAGTGAGAATAAATAAAACAAAACAAGATTATATTATTTTGCACGCTAAATTTGGAACCTTATTTCCCAGCCGACTTCGTACTTTGTTGAATGTAATGTATGTGAATATGTGTATGTGCTTTGAGCTGCAAAATTACAGCAAAACAAATTAAACGAGACGACAACTCTCAAAGTGTTCTGTTTTAAGCTGCACAAACGGTACTAAAATTAATGATTAAATTAGTCTGAAAGTTGAAAATAAATGCTGGAATAAAATAGGATAAATTTGTAAAACGTGCTGCTGCCATGAACGAACAAAATATTTGAACGGCTTGAAATATTTCGTTCGCATTTTATTCCTAGCCATATTTTTTGTCCTTGCTTCTTACCATTCTGACATTTATTTTACCGAATTTTTCGGTGTATACTTCCAGTTCCAGTATATGTGTTGTATCGTTAGTGGCTCAATGCATTTGGCGCTTTACTTAATCATTATTTCAATTACCCCCCAATAAGGATATATTTAAAATGGACATGATAGACATCAAAAATGAAAGTGGCTTCCAAGAACAGGTATACAATTTATATTTTTGAATTATTGAATTCATTCATGGCTTATTTTCAATATAGATCTCGGAATCTGAATGCCCGTCCTCTTTCGAGAGCACAATGAATGTGAGTGCTAATGATGGAATGCCCGATTTTAAAAGTAAAATCATTAGTGGTCAGATACAGCTAAGGGAAAAACGCGGTCGAAGTCGAGCATGGAACATTTTCGCAACGATGATTGATGAAAATGGTGATGAAATTGAAAATTTTGTTGCATGTCGAAACTGTTTCAGTTCATACAAATTTGTAAACAGTACATCGAATCTTGTCAAGCACAAATGCTTCCTTCAGTACGAGGCAAAAGAGAATCAACGCAATCCACAATATGTTCCACTGAGTTTTGAGATCAAGGACAAATTGAGTGATGCTGTTGTCCAGTGGCTAGTGAAAAACGGTCGCTCCTGCAACATACTTCAAGATTCTGGACTGAAAGACTTTGTCCGCATTTTGCTCACAATTGGCGCTGATTTTGGCGAAAATGTAAATATGGAGGATGTAATACCAAACCCAGCAACTATTGCAGTCACCATAAAAGAGTTGTACGAAGAACGGCGTCAAGCTATTATAGCTGAGTTAGGCAATGCCAAGAACGGTTACAGCATCACAACAGCCATATGGGTGGACAATTGCTTAAAGCAGCCATTAGCATCGGTCACTGTGCATTACATTCAGCAATCTGCCATGGTCAGTCGATTGCTCGCAGTTTATCCACTTGCAAGGGACGCGAACACAGGTAAGTGTTGATTACTTAACTCTCATAAATGGCCTTTAAGAGTGAGAATAAATTTTTAGAATTTTGTCCATAAGTATACATATACTTATTTGTATATTTTAATTAACCATTTCAGGCAAAAATATCCGAGCCTTTGTGGAAAAATCATTGCGCACATTTGACTGCGACTTGGATGAGGATGACCCCATCATTGTGATTAGTGGCGATAAAGTCGAAGGAGATGCCATTGCGAAGGCCTTAAAAAATAAGCATTACATACGTTGCATAAAAAGTTTGTTGGAGGACGCAATTGAAGAGGTCTTTAGAGAGAACGTCGATTTGTATCTGTTGCGACAAATGTGCATTAGCTTAGTTGAACAATGCACAACTTCAAGTATATTTAGGCACTTGCTATCAGAATCTAACCCTAAGTCTGAACAGTATTCAACCATGTACTACTTTGAGCTTCTCGCCGGCAATTGGGATGTTTTATCAGAGATTATAGTTGATAAATCTGAGTATGCAACAATCAGAAATGAGATTAAGGCTGTATCCAATATATTAGTTAGCTTTACACAAACGTTAGAGGCCTTGAAGGAGCACAACAAGCCCACATTGCATACTATTATCCCGCATCTGCATAAGCTCAATAAGCTTTGTGCATATAACGTTGAGGATAAACCAAAAATCAATTTATTGAAAAGTTCGTTAAGAACCTGTTTAGAATCGATTGTCAAAAATCATATAACAAAATTCCATAAAATAGCCCTCTTTCTTTTTCCGCCTGCAAAGAAATTGTTGCTCTATAATGAGGCTGAAAGGAAGGACATTATTTCAGAATGTAAAGCGATGATGGAAGAATTGTGCATCGAGCCCGATAATGATAAAAAGAGGATTAAATTAGATGATGAGTATCGTGATTTAGGTATCTTTTCGGATTTTGTGGAGCAAACCTCTTCCACGGATACAAAGGCCGATGTCATAAATAATGAAATTAACGAATATCTGAACAGAAATTTTGCTCATTGCAAAATATTATGTATCCTTGACTGGTGGCGATCAAATAAAGGCGTATTTCCCCTGCTCTATCAAGTCAGCTGCAAAGTCCTTACTACACCTTCAACTATTGCACTTTCACAACGGGCTCTTCTACAAGCGCAGGGTCTCTTAAGTGATCAGCCGAGCTCAATTGATTACCCCGAGGACGTGGTAAATGAAACAATATTTTTAAATATTAATATGGATAACATCATTTAAACTAAAGTTATCGCAAAATATTTTGAAGATATTTTTTTATTTTTCCTAATAAACCAATTTATAAAGGTTTACAAATTGAGTTTTCTTTAAAATGATTAATGTGAATTATTATCTTACTGTGGTATACAGCGTTTGGTTATTTTTTAAATGGGCTTCAATATATACATAATCTAGAATAATATTTAAATTTTACCGCGAAGGCAATAGTGCTACCACACTATATATCCGAGTGGCCAGACAGATTTTTGAGTGGCTTATCTTTACAAAACTATCGATATTTTGTATTCAGTCGAAGAGTGAAAAAGTACTCATAAAGTAATATTTATATGTGTTGGTGTCCATGCATACATATATTTACAAATCTATATATGCATACATATCGTGCATATGTATGTATGTGTGTATGTACATACACATCTACATCGACTTTTAATGGTTTATTGATAAAACTCGGAAAATCTCCACATAGATTAACTATGCCAAACTAATTCGTATTTCTAACTACATATATACATATACGTACACACACGCATACATATACACATTTACATTCATGCATACATATGTATGTATGTACATGAGTATATTTGCATCGTTCCGATTTGTATGGTTTCAATCAATTTCAATTTGTTGCCCACACACCCGCCCACAGAAATACGACAGAGCCGGCTACATGGGTTGGAGCTGTCGTCATCACCGCTTGAGGTGAACTTGAATCATGCAAAATCTGATTTTCATATGAACGTGTGATTGTACATACATATGTACATATACATATACATTGTACAAAGACTATGATTATAATACAATCGTCGGAATATGGTCAAAACGACATGGATACGTACAAATGCACACATACACGCGTGAATGTGGGCTTCGCTTGGGTCGATTAGATTTGATTTGAAACGGTCAATTTCTAATCATAACAACTGCTATCAAAAGTAAATAAAACAAGGCTCATATGGGAGTAAATGATTTAAATATTTTCTACAAATGTAGAGCTTTTGTCAAATTTTAAGATGGATACACATGCTAGTGTGTTTATAACAAATATACAAATGTATATGTATGTATATATTTATTTAAATATACATATGTACATATGTATGTATATGTGTACAGTCGTTTGCATTAAAAAGCCCACTCATAACCTCAAATCGGAAATCAAGCTCTGTTGGCAATGTATGTATGTGTGTATGCATTTAAGTGTACAAACATAAATATGTATGTGTGTATGTATGTACATCGTATGGCAGCCGGCCATCTGTGCGGCTTTTTGTGCATTTCCTGTGTGCTCTTGTGTTTCTCTGAAAATTCGATAGCTGCAGCTGTTGGCCTGCTTCTCGAAAATTCAGTATATGCTTAGAGAGAGGTAGAAAATATGGCTGTTACTGTTGCGACAGGCAACATCAAGCCGGTTTACCTAGGCTTGAATTGTATGAGTAAAAGCAACCCCCGTAAAACATGTCTATTTATGTATGTATGTATGTACATATATGGCAAGGTACAGGCCACCGGCAATTACCACACAGTCGCATTCACACACCTATACATATGTATTTGTGTATGTATGTACATGCATGTGTGTGAATGTACATATGTAGATATACAAAAATGAAGTCATCGCCTGACTGTTATGCTGCAGCATGACTCATCACAAAATTGATTTCTTTGCTACGAACAGGCCTCTAGGGGGTTCAACTTGGGGAGATGGGCTAATTTTAGGTTCATGCCACGCCCTGGTACAGTCTTATGCACTGGAAACTGCAGTCTGCAGTAAAGTAGAAAGCCATTATTCTGCACTATTAATAGAGCGTGTAACGCTCGCACTGCTTTCCCCAGCCACATCGGCATTTAGCTCCAATTATAACCGGCCCGGCCCGTTCAATGAACCTAGCTGAAAGAAATACTTGGAAGAGGGAATAAAGAAAATGCGCTTAAGATTTTCTATTGCTGGCAACACTGACTATTCGCTGACTTTATTTTCATACACAAGTTAAGATTCGTTTCATTTTTTTTTGCTGGTATTTATGTATGTGTATTGTGTTTGTCATTAAAATACTTGTAGGTTTTCCCCAACGTTCACTAGAGTTTCTTTTTCTTGTTATATTCTTGTGAAAGGCAAAACGTTTGCATTGGTTTCGACGCCTTTAACGTCCACCAATGACGCTTGCTGCGTGTGCGCTGTTTTTTGAGAGTGTGTTTAGTACTCCTCGGCACCCTCACCCTCACCATCGCCAGAGTCCATGCCGACCTCCTCGTAATCCTTCTCCAAAGCAGCCAAATCCTCACGGGCCTCGGAGAACTCGCCTTCCTCCATACCCTCACCGACGTACCAGTGGACGAAGGCACGCTTGGCGTACATCAAGTCAAACTTGTGATCCAGACGGGCCCAGGCCTCGGCAATGGCCGTGGTGTTGGACAACATGCACACGGCACGCTGCACCTTGGCCAAATCACCACCGGGCACAACAGTGGGTGGCTGGTAGTTGATGCCAACCTTGAAGCCAGTTGGGCACCAGTCCACGAACTGGATGGTACGCTTGGTCTTGATGGTTGCAATGGCGGCGTTGACATCCTTGGGGACAACATCACCACGGTACAACATGCAGCAGGCCATGTACTTGCCGTGACGGGGATCGCACTTGACCATCTGGTTGGCTGGCTCGAAGCAAGCGTTGGTGATCTCAGCCACCGACAGCTGCTCGTGGTAGGCCTTCTCGGCAGAGATGACAGGGGCGTAGGTAACAAGTGGGAAGTGGATACGTGGGTAGGGCACCAAGTTAGTCTGGAATTCAGTCAGATCAACATTCAGGGCACCATCGAAACGCAGAGAGGCTGTGATCGAAGACACAATCTGGCCAATCAGACGGTTCAGATTGGTGTATGTGGGGCGCTCAATATCCAAGTTACGACGGCAGATATCGTAGATAGCCTCATTGTCTACCATGAAGGCGCAGTCGGAGTGCTCCAGAGTCGTGTGCGTGGTCAGAATTGAGTTGTAGGGCTCGACGACCGCAGTGGACACCTGAGGTGCAGGGTAGATGGCGAACTCCAGCTTGGACTTCTTGCCGTAGTCCACAGACAGACGCTCCATCAGCAGCGAGGTGAAGCCGGAGCCAGTGCCGCCACCGAAAGAGTGGAAGATCAGGAAGCCCTGGAGACCAGTGCACTGATCAGCCAACTTGCGGATGCGATCCAGCACCAAGTCGACAATTTCCTTGCCAATGGTGTAGTGACCACGTGCGTAGTTGTTGGCGGCATCTTCCTTGCCAGTGATCAACTGCTCGGGGTGGAACAGCTGGCGGTAAGTGCCAGTGCGCACCTCATCGACCACAGTCGGTTCCAGATCAACAAACACAGCGCGGGGCACATGCTTGCCAGCGCCGGTCTCGCTGAAGAAGGTGTTGAACGAGTCATCGCCACCACCAACGGTTTTGTCAGAGGGCATCTGACCATCAGGCTGGATACCGTGCTCCAGGCAGTACAACTCCCAGCAGGCATTACCAATCTGGACACCAGCTTGGCCAACGTGGATAGAGATACATTCACGCTGTAAATGAAAAATAGTAGAAGGAAATAGGAAGTTTGATTAAAAGCCGTTCTGCCGAAGTGAATAAAATAAATCGATAAAGCCGCACCCAAAACGATGCTGACACACCAAAGTGCGTGTGAGCGAAACAGCACTCGTGCTCAGCGAATATTTGTCACAGAAGTACAATTATTTATAATTATGCACTTTTTATAGTTAAATTATGCCGAATTCTTATATAGATCTTGGTTTATAAGACATTTTTCCAACATATAACCAAAATCTTTTTTTTTTTCATGACGTCACCAATTTTGCGGTGCCGCCATCTTGAAACATGGCTTCACTCCATATTGGGCAGTGACAACCAGATTTCAATGAATTAAATAATTTTTTTTACTTTACACAAAATATGAAAAAATATTTTCACTTACCATATTGAGTTTTTATAAAATTTTTTTTCACACGACAAAGAAAATTTTACAGAAATCTGTAGAGCAACTGTTTGAGGTCTGTCTCGGATAGAACTACTACGTTCGAATAACCGGCTATGAGGCTTCACAAACGTATAACGAAAGTTTTCTCAGCGACTGCTATTTATACTCTCGGAAACGAAAAGGTTGAAGTGTGTGAGTGAGTACAATTTGATATGATGCTTCATTAGACGATGTATCGATATTTATTTGTTGGCGTTGCCACTACTTTTGTGTTTTTTTTTTGCACAACCCGCCATGTTTAAATTGTAATTGCATTTGCTGAACATTTTATCCGAATGTATTATTCACCGTATTGGATAAAATATATGATTGTCGTCTTATACGATCAGATCCTTCTGTCTACTTAGTACTAGAATCTATTACTTATAAATTAATTAAGCAATTATAGATATATGATCTCAGACAAATGCAAAAAATCACTAAAAGAATGCAGCCTAGATCTAAATGGAAAGGATACAAAAAAAAAAAGACTCCTGTATCCCCCTTTACATTTTTTCCTTTCTGAGTACACCAAACTCTAAAAATGGTTTGCCATGTATTTGTATAAGTTTAAAATGATATGTGTCTGATCATTATGTCTTCCTTATTTGTATTTCTGGTTGTAGTCAAATACTATAGCACAATTAACTATTTGGTGTTCTGGATTCGCTTGCAGTTACGAAGTTGTAGCAAATGATTCATAAATAAAAGCATAACTTTCCAAGAGTCAAGATGATGGAAAACGCTAACCATGGCTAGTGTCACTCTTTGGTTAGTGCACTGACCACTGTTCTCTGGTCAGTGGTTAGTGCTAGTGTTTAAAATTAACAGCAATGTTAAATTTACAGAATGGTAACCGTAATTTACACTGCACGAATCGATAGCAATTGTACGATAGGCGATTGGCAATGTGATTGAATAGAATAATTACTGCAGCCCTTGATAAATTCCTCTACGCGCAAAATTGAAACTACATTTCAAAGTTTTATGCAATGCACGCTTTAATCAAAATATACACGCGTATGTAATTTGTATGTGTATCGCTAGACTTTTATTTTACAGTTTATTATATTTATTAAATTTTTGTTTGCAATATTGTGGTATTTGTTAACATTATCGCGTCCGCAATATTTATTGAACACAGTGTGTTTTTTGCTGTTGAACTTTTTCGTTTTTGTTTTTTTCCATACAAAATAATAATACAAATAATCAATTTATATAATGTAAATAGTGAGTAACATAATAATTTATAATGTGTAGGCTTTAAATTTGTTTGTAATAATGGCTGAGACGTTTTCTGTTTATTTTCCCAATATCTATTGATTTTAGGGAAAAAAGCGCAACATTCTCTTAGTCGCGGCAAACATTTTAAACTGTACATATTTTTAGAACTTTATTTTAATTTTTTATATTTTTTTTTGTGAAATGGTATTTGTTAAAGTTATTTTGTTTGTTTAGTTTGTAAGCTCTAGATTTGGTAAAAAATACATAAATTAATTGGTTGCTTGCCTGCCCGACTGTGCAAAATGGAATACCATAGTTGCTGCGATGGTTCGTTTCCGTTTACATTAAGTTTCCATCTATCAGAATTACATAAAAACAGTTTGGGCAAATACTAGCTTAAAGGAGTATAATTTTATTAAACAAATCAACTCAATTATGAGTTCGAAATTCTTAATGCACATTAAATTTGTTAATTCAATTTTCATCATTGCTTTGGAAATAATTTATACAACAGACAAACATTGATGTAGGAAATAAAGTATTATTAAACAATATATGGATGTTTGTATATATGACATGCAAGTTGGGGTCTGTTGCAGTGGATATTGTAAATGATTGCGATTGAAATAATTATTAAACATTTGTATTAGAGCAATTAAAGCAATTAAGTTTCGCAAAATACATATATATGCAATTTACTTTCTTTTAACTTATATTTTCATGAATTTTTCGTATTAATACATATATAATTAATTAATTATAATAAATAAAGCCTAGTTTTAATGCCTGCTTCAAACTTCGACATTGTTCAATTACTACAAATACATATCTACTATAAAGATGTGCATATTCATATACAACTTTAATCTAAATTATCCTGGAAAATTAATTTAATGTAGCCAGTCGCGCCATCCAGTGGTGTCGCACAGAATGGACAAACTGCCTGAAAGCCATTGGTTCCGTGCGGTATTTCCACATTTGCCCAGTACCTGAATGGTAAATAAAAAGGAAGATAATTAAGATATTTTCTTTATATTATGACAGACGTGAAGTTTTCATACTTGACAGTTTTCTCAGTCGCCATGTGTCCACATGGATTGAACGCGAATGTGGGTGCACCCACATCCACATAGAAGGCCGGCTCTAGGCCCATACATAAGGTAACAACTGGCCCCAATTCTAGGCACATAGGACAACGGCGAGCACCAGTATTCTCATCCTGACCCCAGTCATGATGACCTGTTGGACAAGAAACTCTCGACCTTTAGCACAAAATTCTCCATTATATTATATGATTATATGAACTTACCCTGCACATGGCCGCAGTTTAAGTACACATAAGGCTGATTAACCTGATCACTGATATTTACTTTACGTGGTATAACCAATGTATTAAGGCCCACCGGGCACTGTGGACGACCCGCGTTAATGGCATCGATAAGCTTTTCCAAATCGTGTTTGGTCTGTAAATACGAAGAGTGGGTTATTAAAGTCAATCAAAATAATGGTTGAGCTCATGCTTATTACCGGTGAATGCTGCAAACCCTCGGCGGAACGCCAGAGCAGTGTTGCGCCGCAGAGATCAATGAGTGTGCCATCCTGCAATATGTTGCATTCATCATAGATCTGGCCAAATGAGAGAATATAAATTAGATACACTTCGCCATTTCTATACATTATAAACTTGTTACGTACAGGCTGACCCTTTTGTTGTGCCGAACGCGATTCGCGCAGGCTGAAGACATCGCCACCCACGGAGCACTCGCGCCATAGGCCGCACTTGGCGTTGCCGCCGCAGAACGAGCCTTTGGGGTGCATTATTAAGACACCATTAGTGGTCAGACCGTCGATTTCCACATTATCTTGCCATTTGGTGGCCTTTTCCTGCAACAACAATGAAGCTCATTAGCATGCGAGTTTTATTAAGAGTTTGGCCCAGTTTACTTACGCCCAAAAATATATTTCTGCTCGAATCAAATCCGGCGGCAAAGATTTTCGCCTTGGCGGGCTCACATCGATTCACCAAAATGCGGCACGCGAAACGAGAAATCGTGCTCTGCATTACCTTCGCATCCTTCTTATCACCGGGCAACGTGTCCATTACAACAAAATCAATGGGGGATTCTGATGAGCGTCCCACCTAAAAATAGTTGAGCCATACTCTGATTAGTCAAAGCAATTGCTGATTAGGCCCTCATTGATTGACCTAGCTTCTATCTGTACACACACACACACACAGACACACAGGCACACAGACACACAGACACACAGGCACGCATACTTAATGCAACACTCAACTGCCGTTCAATCCATCTATCAATGTTCAAATAAGTGCCAAATCATGCAATATTGGCATTTCACTTCAAACTCGTAAGGAAGTGCAAATGAAATTCGACGCGTTGCCATGCCAGTGCCGAATCGGTAATCAATATAAATTATAAATAGATTTATCCTTATACTCAATGTCAAAACTAACGCAAATTATGGAATGTCTAAGCTATGACCAACATAAACAAAAATATAAATTGGAGTAAAGTACAAGTTAACTACATAAGTTTAAACGTTTGACTTTGAATAGTTTTAGCTTTTCTTTTTTCATTAAATTATATATTGTTGAAGTTTATTTAATATTGGCGAAAATTAAGTAAATGTAAAAAAATGTAAATCAACAATTTAAGTTTACAAAACAAAGATAAAAAGCAGAAAATTAGTTATTATCACTTCAATCAAATAATAAAATTGGGTTTGTTAAGACAAGCTAAGAAGGCCGTATTCTCCAGTCAGATATTCCAAGTCGAGCCTTCGGACGAGTGAGAGTCTAATACCTAATTGTTACAGAGCTACGATATTTTGTTTTTGGACTAAATTGAGGTATTCTCGCGAGAACCTATTCTCTGATTCGAAGAGAAATGCTGACATCTCTTATAGATATGTTGACATCTCTTATATACATATGTATATGTATATATTTTCTTTTTTAATTTCTCAAAAATAAGTCCACAATTTGTACCTTAGAAGCTTGTTCTCTTTTATGAACTCACCTGAAACATATCCGTTTCTGTGTCCTCCTTGTACTCAACAATAACGGCCTGACTGCGTGATAGTGTGTACGATATTGAGTGCTGGTTGGCATCCAGTATAGCCTTCGATGTCTGTGGTGATTGTACGATATAGTGTTTCGATCGCTTGACGCCGCTCGGCTCCGTGCGTTTGTGCAGCACGAATTTTGAGCGCCGACGACCACGATCGCCCTGCGGCAAGTAGCCATTGTAGCTGCAAACGAAACGAAACGAAACGAAACAATATTTTACTCATATGAACTTCTTTGGCTGATTTATGATCAAGGCAGTGCATGCATGCTGCGTTAGAGAGACACAGAGACCCCAGTCAGCGTATCAGTCTCCATTTTGGGACCACGAATATTACGAAACGCACAGCTAGAACAATTTGTTACATTCAGTTTATAGGTCAAGTTCTGCGTCGGTCGGCAATGTGTTTACACAATCAGCCATGCCCCCACTCCCCACTCCCGCCCCAGACACGGATAATGAGTTGAAATACCATGAGGGAATTTTGTCGAAAAGAGTACATTGGCGAGTCAATAAGTTAATTGCCAGATCATTACGGGAATTCTATGGGTACACAACAAATAGAGAAGTTTCTAGGTTGTCAAATGGTTTGCGCTATAGAAGATCTCTTAATATCATTTGCGGCTGTCGATCGCGCACAGAGATCGCTCTTTGATTACCTAAAAGGCACGCACACTGCCCATTAAAGGGCTAGATCGAAGAGTTTATTACCACGTTGCTTTAAAAATAGTTTTTATTGATTAAATAATTATGTGCGCTAATATAATTATAGCAATTTGAGATAATAGTGTAAGGAAAACATGAAACATTAATGTTGAGATAATGGCTAAATAAATAAAGGCTTTTATTCATTTTTATTGCTTCGATATCTTTTCATTGTTTCATATACATATATACATATGTATATGTATGTATATATTTATTTGAATACATAGGCCCACAGAACTCATAAATACCTACATACAAAAAAGTTCCATTTCTACCTAACTTTTGACAATTTAACGAGCTGACAGCCCACATAAAATAACAATAATAATGTTGTATAGTATATGATTTTATTAACAAGCATTTCGAAAACGGGCCGATGAACCCAAACCCTTACAGTGTGTATACAAAAACACAATAATTGCTTGGCAATTTCTATGGAATAGAATATCCAACATGGGATATATAAATACATATGAAGTTCTTGGAAAATCAAAGTGAAAAAAGCAACAAAAATAATTCGAACAAATAAACAAGGTCTGGGCATAGTGGGAAATGTGGACATTTGAGACCCGTAATTACTCGGACACTAATGCTAGTGATGTTATGATATATTAATGTTCACATTTAAGAAGTTGTAAATGATATTTAACGCATTAGCAAAGCGAGGCGACAGTGGGACGACGACGACGACAAAAATAAAGAAACAAAAAAAGAAACCAAAGCAACAGAAATAAAAGTTGTTTTGTTCAAATTTGACGGGTACAATTAAGACCTGGTACGAGCATGAGACAAATGCCTTGACTGCTCTTGAATACTATATACGGGGATTGCCTTCACAATTGTCTTTTATATCATATGTCGCCAAGCAGCGAGAAGAAGACATTCGAATGGGCAGCATCCATTGCGGTGCTCAGAAACGAAAAACATTTGAGCAGTTGTTGTAGACGAGCCTCTTGTAGAGTTGGGGAAAGATGCACTGCAGCACTTATACGGCGATAAGCTAGTGCTAATGACAATGACTCAGGCGCAAGCACATTTGACTCACGTGTGAGTCAGCTAACGCGTGCGCGCCGGGTAATCAGCGCAATGTCAAATGTCTCAGTCAGGGACTGAGTAACGGAGAGAGAGAGAGAGAGAGGGAGAGAGAGGGGCAAGCAGACAGCTGGACAGCCATCAAGATGTACAAGCGGGCATCGCAGCTGCCGGCCGAAATCATCAATCTCAGAACGCTGCCGGCAGCAGCGTGAATCTAATTTATGTGCCTAACTGGCTGACTGACTCCCCAGCCAACTGGCCGACCGGTCAACTGGCCAGACGGCCAACCGACCGACCGACTGACTGACCAAAACTAAACTGGTTGCGGCTTACAGCGTTACAGAGCAGCAAGAGTTAAGCCTTTTGTTCTATAGACGCCCCAGCACGGTTGCCTTGCACAGGTCAGGCAACACTGTACACAGCTGGAGGGCAGGGCAACGCACACTGGGGCTAAAGCATGGGAAATTTCGATGAAAATCACGAAGAGACAATAAATATGAGTTTTATTACACTTATTGACATTTTTACAATTGTTTAATTTTAGTATTAATAAAACTGAATTTTATAACATTTTTACTTTTATTTGTTGTTATTCTTGTATCTTTTTTAATCTTTTATTAATCTGCCGGTCAATGCCATCTATAGATCGAAGCTACGAAGAAACCAGCTGCCCAAGCATCCAATTAATAACTTTAGTTATAAGCTAGACTTAAGCCGCAATAGATTTTCATTTATAATTTTTGGTATGAGCAACATTAATTTGGGATTATTGTAGGATCTTAGTTTTACCAAAAAAAAAAGAAGTAATCTGTAAAACAGATAAAGGAGCAGAGCTTTAAGCCAGAGCTGGCTCGAATGAAATGAGGCCATAATTATAATAAGCCAAAGCTATTTAATCTTGAAAACGTCTAGGCCTGTCTACGTTGCAGTATTGCAGAGGTTTTTCTTATGCATTGAGAAAGAAAGAAAAAAAAACTTAAGGGTTTCGTATATCATTGCACTTACCCAAGTATAACTAATTCTCCGTATCGCAGTCGGGGTTTATCGTGCCCATCGCCAGCGTCTTCAGCCAGTATGGGAGATTCTGTTCCGTCGGTTCTGTGGATGCAAATAGAGAATATCAAATTTGAATTAGATCAAATGTTGTTTACAAATGAAAAAGTGTAGTGCATAAAATAGTTAAGTAACTGCCGAGGCTGACCTCAAATCTCATATGATATAATACTCGGCGGCGGCGTCGCTTTGTTTAGAGCTCTGAAGGGGAATACAAACACAAACAATAAAAGTAATACAATAAAAGAAACTTTTTTCTTTCTGTTTTTTGCTTTGTAAGTTCGTAAGTTAGGGCTAAACAATTTCAGAGTAGAAATACAAATGCCAAAGGAATTGCTCATTTCCAAGCATTTGCTTCGCTGCCAGTTGGAGAATTTCAAATGAGGGGAAATATTGAAGGCATCTCATTCTGTCTCCCTCTCTTTCGCTCTTTTTCTCTCCCTTTTGCATTACAATGCATTTTGCAGCCCGCCTTTTGTTCAACTCATAAACATGTATATTTGACACTGACTCTGTCAGCTGAAGTCATAGAAATTTCTTTAGTGCAACACCTCATGTTACCTGTCCAATCCCCACTAATAGCAGGCTATGCGCTTTTGGGGCCAAATTGTCAGTAATGAAAAGGCGATAGAATAGATAACCCGGTATCTCATTAGCCAGAGAAGCGGATAGCTCTCTTTTATTTATTTATTTTTTGGGGCACGTCATATACTTATTTACAGCAATCTAATAAAGCAACTTGGCGCCGGTTGACGCCTACACAAGCATGGGGCACGCCCCACCCGTTCCCAGCAGCCAGTCCACGTGGCAGCCGGCAACCGGCAACTGGAAACTGGCAACTGACAACGGGCAAATGAATTTTACCCCGGCTTAAACTGGACTAGACTGGGCCAGAGGGTGGCCTGAGCTGGGCGGCTGACTGACGAAATGCTTTGGGGTTGCATTGATTTTTGCTCGTTGCATTTAAACTTGCTCCCCTTTTTGCCTGTTGGCAAGCAGCGGGTCAAGAGGCGAGCGGTGGGCGGTGCAGGCACTTGAAATTGTGCAGCGCAGACAGAAATTGTGCGCATAAAGAGTGTGTGGGGGGGCGTGGTGGGGCGGGCACACAGACAGTGGCGTGTGCAAGGTAAATAGAAAATGCTCTATGTCTGTCGACATGTTGCTGGGCATCAAATTAGCGCTCCAGCGTTGTTTAGATGCACACGCGTGCAGTTAAACAGATAGATATACATATATATCTATATAAATATATATGTATACATATATGGATATGGATAGATGTACCATGTGCCCGTACAGTCTGATCTGCAGCTCAAACCAAACAACGTTGACTCACTCAGCTTCAGAGGCCGTAAATCAAATGGATAAGCACATTAACAGCGCTTCAATTTCTGTTAACAGTCCACTGTTGAGCCTCAACTGCAGCGCTGTTACTTAACAGTCTCAGTCTCTGATGTCATAAATTAAATGGAAAAACACATTAACAGTGCTTCAATTTCTGCTAACAGTCGTCTGCTAACTCTTAACTGCAGCACTGTTATTTAACAGTGTACTGTCTTGAGAGTTGTTTACTTCGCACATCTTGGCCAAAATGCATTTGAGCACATAATTTACATATAATTGCCGTGGTTGCAAGAAGAAAAAGACTTCAGCTTTAAAATGTTAATTTTGTTTGGAATGGTTTATTTATTAAGGTTTAGTAATGATATAAATAATGTGTATAATGACTAGATAAACGCAATTATTTTAAATAACATGCATAACATGCATATGTGTAGCTCATATCATTCAGATATCAGGCTAAATTTTATATATTATATTATTGAATATTATTATATTCATATTGTTAGTTAACTCTTTTGAGCTTTGTTCAAATTATGTAAGTATGCATTCCTTTTAATTGTAAAGCTGCCCATACCGTTATCTATAGTCTACAGTATGTGTGCATTTAATTTAATTAACAAATCTAAAGCGCAAAAGTGCCGCCAGCTAACACAGAAATCTCTTTAAAACGAGCAAATGTTTTGTGTTTTTTTTTTTTTTTTGTCAAAGCGAGTGTATCTATTTAGACAACTTAAATTAAAGTAAATATTTTGTCAACGACAACAAAACAATTGCCAGAAATATGCGTACACAGTTGAATGATGTGTGTGCTTCATAACAGCTGCCCAAATGGCACAATTGTCAATTCAATTTGGAGGGGGCGGAGACGTGCCCAAAAATAAAAAAAATCTGAATACTTAAAAGCTTTAACAGAATTTCCAGTTACGAAATGGAAAAACTATTTGCGTTTCTTGTTAGTCACACACACACACACGTACACACACACACACACACAATCAGCTGTTTTTAGGGCCACAGTGCTTATCGATTTTCAAACTGGCAGCGAAAGAGTAAAGGCATTCTGCATCCATTTCTTTTTTTAAACTGTATATACGTATATATACATACATACATATGTATATGTATTGTATATGTTGCTATAGAACTGTATAGTAAGTTGTAGAATTTAACGCGCGTATCCATGAGATACAACGGCGCACAGTTAGATACCGAAATATCGCTAGTCGGTGTATCTATTTCTGTTCAGTTTCCACCAACGTCATTTGAAGGGAAATCAATTTTTAACCAAGTCGGTATGCGTGTGTGTGAGTGTGTGTGTGTGGGTTCGAAAGGCGTACAAATGTATATTATATACGTTAGACTGCCAAACACACGCGCTTGTTTTGCTATTGCCTGACAACTTGCCGCAATCGATATTTGTTACTGTTGTTGTTGTTGTTGTGTTTCATTTTGCCTTTGCTTTTCGTGTTGTGCCGCATGCAACGCAAATGGCGCGGCAATCGCATTACAATAAATTCACCTTTTCAGCTCGCAAAGTCGGACCATTGCATGCCAACCTAACAAGTGCATTGTGGCCCCAGCTCTGAGCTAATGTCAGGAACAGGGCAAAGGATACAAAGAAGAAAAAAAATCAGGCCAGTTTGCACTGTGGTGCACGGCAGGAACGCGGTCGTGCTTCACTTGGCCTGATTTTAATGTCACGAGTGCAGGCACACAATATAGCCAATATGTATACATATGTATATGTATGTATGTATGTATGCATATAGCTTTTATGCAAATGAAATAGATTATTATTGCTTATATATTCATTTGATTACGCGCACAGCCGAGTATTTCGATGCTAATGACTACCTCTAATTGACCTTACGAAGGGCTTTTAGCTAATTTAGCCTAGTACCTTAGCCCTGCGAAAGGTCAAACTGTCAGTGACACTCAACCAAGAATCAATTTAGATAAATGATGTGCTATGCATAACATAATTCAAACTAAACGCACAGCTTGGACATCTAAGCCAACTGTATGTTTATCCTTTCTTTTGATCTATCCGCATTGAGCCAAGTTTTATTGAGGGATTATTTGAGATCTGAGATTAAATGATTTTCTGCTTATTCGGCATTTACAATTCTAGACCAGTTTCCTATCTATCGTATATTCACTGCATAAGAATTCTATAATTGTATAGCATTTAATCATGAAGTAGTTTCACAAGTTCAAAGATCAGTATGAGTAAGGGCATTTTATTTATTTATTTATAAGAGATTCGAATTAATCTAAAACTAAGATAAACCTAACAAGCCCTTCGGTTTGCCAATCATTTTATAAATGAGTTCATTCAACATTTTGACATCTAGTATAAATGCAAGAGCAACAACTGCAAGCGGCAGTTACCTTCCGACCCTCTAGAAAGGTAAATGCGCTAATAGATATTGAGTTTCTTCTTCAATCAAAATACACCCATATATATGCATTTACATGTGTATTTGATGTTCGCTTGGACTGAGCTGAAATCGGAGCTGAATGTGAGCATGTCAAGTGTCTGCTGAATAGCTGAAATGTGCAACCTCCAAGTTCGCCGCTTGTCAGCAAAAGTGCAAATGAAAGATTAAACAATAAGCAACGGGAACAATGGCACCGCAGGGCAACCCAAATAGACAAAGCCAACAGCTGAGAGGGCGACAGAGAAAGGCGACACCTTTCGCAGGTGCCCAATGATGCCCTGATCCATGGCGTGGCATGGCCTGGCATGGCATTGCTTGGGATGGTATGGCAGGTGTTTCGTTACCATATTTTATGGCCAAATTTGTGGCTGTGCTTCGTTTGGCTGATGGCACTTCAGACCGCTTCATTCATATGCCAAAGGTGTAGCAGCTGTACATATATATGTATCTATCTGTGTATTTGCAAATGTATCTGTATCTGTGGACATTGTGTTTCACTGTGTGTGTGCGTGTGTATCTGACGGCCTTTGCCACAGCTGTTTGCATTTCAAGAATGAAATTCTCAACGTGCAGATACAAACGCGAACAGCCAGACAAAGAGAGCGAAAGAGGGCGAGAGAGACCGAAAAAAAACTCGTTCTTCCAGCGAAAATCGAGCAGAAAGCGTGGAGGGAGTAACAAATTGCAGAGCATAAAATATGCGCAGCTGAAATCCAAAAATAATGCGAAAAAAATAATACTCACAAGCCACAAGATTGTTTTCAAAGAAACAGCTAGAACTTTGCGGATTAAGATGCAGATGCACAAAGAGATAAACAAGCAGATACAAACATATCTACAAAGATCGTTTTCAAGATACCAAAATACATTCACACACACACACAAATTGAAATTTACATAAAGTTATATATAGAGATAAACAACAGCATTATCAGTCCGTCTTACACGCCCATTTGGCACGCCCTTTGCCCTGGGCTGCGAGACTTGTTAGCGACGGCTCACTAATTCAGTTTATGCAAATCTCCATGTCAGTTTCTAAACAACTTTTCAGCCGCCTGGCCAGCAGCAGACTAAACACAGTTGCTTTATTGTTGTCATTTTGGAGCTGTTTGTTACATAAGCGACACGGGTTTTAGTTTAGGTTACGTCTACCAATATATAAATTTCTATATATGCATATACATGTGAAGCTGTCAATATCTTTTTGCACATTTGTTTATGTTAAATAAGCAGCAACAACAACAAAAACAATGGCAGCAA